ACATCCGGCTGCTCCACTTTTCTGGGGGCGTGGGCCCCGGAGGTCCGGACCACTTCCCTGGGGGCACTTCCAGCAACCCCCGCAAGGGGGGGGGGGGGAAGGGAGGGAGGGCGGGCGCGCGGGCCGCTGCGCCGTGGCCGGGGGCCCGCGGCGCGGCCCGCGGCCGAGGGAGGAGGCCCGCGGCCGCTGCGGCGCGCGAGGCGCCCCCCCCTCCCCCGGGGCGCCACGGACGGGCAGAGGCCCGGTCGGGCGGAGGCCGGTCCAGAGGGGCCTCCTGCGGGCGGCGGAGCGCGGCAGGCCTCGGAAGAAAAGTGGCGAGCACGAGCACGCATGCCACGCTCTATAGGCCTCGCAGATGGGGTCGGGGAATCGCACCTCGGAGGAGAAGCAGCGAGCACGCATGCCACACTCTAGGCCACGAAGCAGGAGAGACGCTATAAGCATAAACCTGTGGCGCTCCGCGCGGGTTCCTTGGATCCGCGCTGGGCCCCCCCGGGCCAGAGGGGCCTCCTGCAGGCGGAGGAGCACGGCAGGCCACGGAAGAAAAATTGCAAACACGCATGCCACACTCTAGGCCTCCTAGATGGGGTCGGAGTAGATGGGGTCGGAGGATCGCGCCGTACCGTCGATGCATCGGCGATGCGGAGCCCAATTTTCTCCACGATGGCGTCGCGGATGCGTCGCCGACGTCGCCGATGTATCGGCGATGCGGCGTGTTCCCCCGACCCCATCTACTCGGACCCCATCTAGAAGGCCTCTACACACTCATATTGGTCAGCGCCTCCCCCTGCCCCCAGGTTCAAAGTTGGCGGTGGGTCTGATGATCTCCACTTAGACCGCAGCCTCCCCCCGCGCGTGCCAGCTTTGGGTTTTGGGGGGGGCGGGGGAGGGTCCACTAATTGCTTCCCCCTACCAGAAGCCCAGCACGATTCCCACAAGTTTGTGAAAGACGACACCAAGCGCAGGGGACGATCTCCTCGAAGAGCAGGCCGGTGCAGCCGGGGACCGAAGGGCTGGGCGCCGCCGCCTGGCAGCCCGGCGCTCTCTGCGCGGATCGCGCCTGCGCTGGCCCGCCCGCGGGCCGGGGCCGCGCGGAACGCGCCCGAAGGCACCCATACCTCTACCCTTCCCTCGTTCTCCCCTGCTTGGGCCTCCTGGGAGGCCCACGTCGCCATCGCTGGATTCGCTACGAGATTCTGGTCGGAACGCTCCCCAGGAGAGGTCCAGGAAGGAGGGGTATCGGTACCCTCGTGATTTCCCCACAGGTCTGGGGGCGCCGGCAAGCCGCGGGGAAGCCGCGGCGGCGGCGGCCGAGGTGTTCGGCGGCGCGGCCGAGGGGAGTCCACCTGTCCGTCCTTTATCCCCAGGCTCAAGGCGTAGAGATGAAAGGGAAAGGGAAGTGGGGGAAGTGGCGCAGCCACTCGGCGGAGCTGCAGCGCAGATGCGGAAGACGAATTAGAGCATTGTGTACGTCACGCTGTGCACGTCATACTCTTGTCTGTGGCGCTGTGGACGGAATATGGAGTTCATGTACTTCTGGTACACGGGTCTTCACGGTGGTAGTCTGCGGCTTCAGTTAGTTTGGTATCGCCGTAGTCTATGGTGCCATCTGTTCGTAGCACTTGTCGAAGGTCGCCTCGTCGTTGAACAGCAGCTCGAAGAATGCGATGCGGCGACGCCAGGCTGCCCCGCCAGATCGCACATCTCCTCGAAAACGAAATCATTGAGCAGCATGGGTCTGGAACTCGAAGGTGCGCCTCTTCTTAAGGCGCTCGCCAACCATCCCAAGGTTGCTCGCCTTGACGCGAATGTCGATATATCCTCCGTGGAATACCCATCGAGCAGCGTCCGCGGCGTAGGGGCCCAGCACCCCGTCCTGGCCGTTGAGGCTTGGCTTCGCGCGGAGGCCGACCAGCGGCACTGGTTGCCCTCGAAAGTCTGGCTGTGGCGGTCATTTCTCAGCGGGAAGTGCTCCTAGCTCTGCCGGTGGCCCTTCTGGTTGCCCGTGCCGCTCTGCTGGTGGACCTGGGAAATCTGCTAGTGGCTCTCGTGGCTCCTGGTATGGTCCGAGTAGCTTTCCTTCTTGCCCTCGCGGCTCATCTGGTGGCCCTCGCAGCTCCTGTGACGGCTCTCGTCGTTCAGTTGGTGGCCCTCGTAGCTCAGCGCGTGACCCTTGTGGTTCCGCTGATCGCTCGCGTAGCTCAGCTTGTGGCCCCTCGTAGTCCTGCTGGTGGCTCTCGAAGCTCCGCCTGCGGCTGTCGTGGCCCTCGAAGCTCTCATAGCTCAGCCGGTGGCCCTTGAATTTCTGCTTGTTGCCCTCGTGAGGCGGTGGGTGGCCCTCGTAGCCCTGCTCGCTGCCTTCGGAGTTCCTCTTGTGGCAGTCGTAGCCCTGCGGGTCGTCCACGTAACTCTGCTGGTGGCCCCAAAGGCTCTGTGCGCGGCTGTCGGCGCTCTGCTCGTGGCCCCCGTAGCTCAGCGCGTGGCCCTCGTAGCTCTGCTT